CCGAGCCCCCACCCCCACAGGAAGCTAGAAACCCTCAGGAGCTGGTGGATCCAGCTCTGCACAGCACGTCTAGGTGGGCAGGTCTCTGCCTGGTGCCGAGTGCCAGTGGCCTGCGTTGGCCTGCCAGCCATGAGCCTATCCCAGAGTGGGGGAGAACAGATGCAGGCCTGCGGGCTGACGAGCTGGGCAGCACCTCGGAAAGCAGCAGGGACCCTCCTGCTTGGCACAGCTCAGCAGGAGGGACCCCGGCTTGGTGGGTGTGCCTCTGATCCGCTCTCAGGCCAGGTGGGTGCGGGGTTGCCCAGCTCCTCCAGTATCCCTGCCCACACCCAGGAGGCTCGGCTGCAAGGGTCATTCCTGGCCCCACCTGTCCTGGTGGTCAGGAGGGTACAGTGCAGGTTCTTTTTTCCCAGTGAGGGACTTCACCGCCACCAAAGGCCTGGGGCCGTCAGAGGGGTGGACTGGGAGGAAATTAAGCCCTCCTTTTGTGTTCTGTGCATGTGAACTTAATGCACTAGTAAATTCAAAGCCTGACTGCCACAGGGGGGAGCTTTAGGGTGATTAGCATGCCAATAAAATCACTAGGCCTACAGTGACTTATAAAAGGTAAGGTGGGTTTTGGATTGAGGAGCAGAGCTATTTAGGAGGTCAGTGCTGGCTCCTCCACAGTCTTCCTCCCTTGGGCCTGGAGCAGCCCCTCTGGGGCCCTCTTCCCGCTGCTGAGCCGGCCCAGGGGCCTCCCTGGCGCGGGCCCTCCCTCCCTCCCTGGAGTGACTGAGCAAACCCTCCCCTGTCTTAGGAGCCTCCGCGGACATCCTGCTGTAGTGCGGGCAGTTGGTGCTCCGACCTCCCAGGCTCCCCCTCTTCCATCGTGACTGTAAAGTTAGGGGTGTCTGTCCGGAGCCATGGGTGGGGGTGCTGGGAATGGCATCCCAGGCGCCCCACCCCCCCGCAGGAGCTGAGTGCTGTGGTCCCTGGGGGACAGTGCCTCCTGCGGGCCCCTCGCTTCGCTGTGCTGCGCAGGCTGTGTTTTTGTCTGCATGGTTTGGGGTCTTTGTCCTTGTGCCTTTTTCTTCCCTGTCACCACTGTACAGGATTTTCCACTTACCACTGCCCCCTTTTCTACACCCCCTGGTTTACCCCGACCCTCCCGGGCCCTGTAAATGTGTACATAGTGCCCCGCTGCGCGTCCGCGTGCCTCCTCCACGCCAGGTGGGCTCCCAGGGGCCCCCGGCTCGCTTACCCACAGGGTCAGACTCCGCTTCCCCTGCGCGTGCTCAGCCGAGCAGACGTGGCCACTGGGTTTGGAAGTCGTAGGTGTGGTCCTAGGTCTGGGCGGCTGGGACCGCTTCGTCCCGTCCAGCCTAAACCGGCAGCTGGTTGAGCTCTGCACACCAGAAAGGCTGACTCTGTCTAAGCGACTTCTCCCACAACCGCTTCCTGTGCTGGTGTCAACATTAACCGAAAGCAGAGTGCGCCTTTCGCCCCGGGCCTTGGCCCAGCAGGGACCTGGGTCGGCAGCGGCTCCACAGGCCCTGTGAGGACTCACCCCAGCCCCCAGGAGCTCCGCCCGCGGCGCCTAGTGCTCGGTGTTGCAGGGCTGGCTTCAGGGCTCCTGGCACCTCGCGATTACAAGAGACTCCAAGTGGCAGAAGTGCCACCCGCCTGCCCTTAAACAACTGCCGAAGGTGCTCAGACCCGGGTGCCATTAACTACCCCACGACGCCAGGACGCCACCGGACCGCGCCTTCCGAGGACAGGCTCGCAGCCCGCTGGCTCCCTTCGTCCTCCCGGCCCAGGTGGAGTAAGCTACGCGTGGCCTTGTGTCCAGGGGTTGATTTGACGGCTTCCACTCTCCGTGGGATCCCACTTGAGTTTTTTGCCCTAGGAGCGGAGCCTGCATCTGGAAACGGACTCGGGTTGGGGACTGGGGTGAGGCCTCCACCTGCAGGCCGCAGGGTGGGGAGAGCACGGGTGAAGCCCAAGGCTGTGTCCCAAGTCTTCACCTCCAGCCTGCTTCTAGCCAAAAAGGAGCAGGATCTCAGAGGCAGGCACTTTCCAGGGAACTCTAATGTACAGACCAAGGTGTAAATAAATAGTTTGCTTTTCTTGCCTGACTTGATGGTGAGTTTCTGTGGTGGGGGAAGGGAGGATGGAAACGTGTGGGTGGCTCCTGGGACCGGTCTCCCTTAGGCGGAGCAGGCCCCACCCAGTGTACCTTTGGGGGGGGGTCACACCGCAGGCCGTGTTTAGCCCACTGCCCCTGGGAGAGGAGCTGTGTGCCACCATTTCAGCCTCAGGCCTATGATGTCCTCATGCAGCTGGGTTCTCTTGCCCAGCAAACGCCTCCCAGGGATCCCAGCTTGTGCACCGGCCCCTCCATGGGGTCCCAGTGCTCGTGCCACGGGTAGCCACCACGCACTTGGGGGTCACAGGCCCGAGTCTGCCGGGGCACTTGGTTTCAGACTGAGGCACCAGTGCTGATTCAGCCAAACCCCAGGGTAATGAGCTGAGTCCATTGTCTGCCCCTTCCAAGACTTAACAGTATGGGATCCCAGGTGTCAAAGGACCATGCGGTCACCGGGCCCAGCATCTGAAAGTGAGTGGACCCCTCCCTTTTGGCCCAGACCCTCAGGGCAGCAGTACCAGCCGCTCTCGCCTGCCCACGCCGGCCCCTGTGGCAGGGGTCTGCCGCTCATTGGATTTCCCCACCTGGGCTCATGGGCAAGTAGTCTTCCAACACCGGCTGTGCTTGCGGCCCTTAGTCCTTCCATCTTCCTGATGCAGCTTCTTTACTTCCCAGGTCATCAGGTTCTGTGACTATAAAAATACAGGATTCCCAGTTAATACTGAATTTCAGGTAGATTTTTCAGTTTAAGTATGTCCCAGGCAATACTGTGAAGGTCACTCATTGCCTGTGGACATGCAAACTTAACCGGGTTTGCTGCCATCTCCCAGCCCTCTCCAGGGCCCCTCCGCAGTGAGGTGTGTCTGCTTCCTGACCCCTCACCTGGTGCCCCAGTTTTGGAAACAGAATCCTTGTTTTGAGGAATTGCTGATTTTGAGACTGGTTCTGCTTTCCCCACTCCACCATCCAAAGCATCTGGCTTTTCCAGGAGCTGCACCCTACCTTGGGGTTGTGTCAGGAGTATCTGAAGCTATAAGCAAATGCAAAACGGCTTGACATGGAGGTGAACTTAAGCATGGGAGGAGAAGGCCATGGTGTCCTGGGGACACTGTGGGGACAGGGGTGTTGCTAAAGAACCCTGGCATTAAATTTCCAATTTGCTGGAGTTTCACAATAACTAGGCCATTAAGCATTTTCAAAGCATCAAATGACTGTTCATGGGAAGATTCCTGGAACTGAAGTAAGAGGCCAGGACTTCGTAGCTGTGGGGCTTTGAACAAGTTTCTCATTTCCCTGAATCGCAGTCTGCAAAGCAAGGGAAATAGCAGTTCCTCTGTGACCACTACGAGTACCTGTCAAGGCACCAGGTGGGGCTCCAGGAAGAGCTTGCAAATGTCAAATCTGGATTGGGGAGGAGGGCAAAACTCAACTTCCCCAAAAGACTCCTTATTTATACAAACCACTTTGTTTTCTCGCGTGTTTGTAAAAAGAAAAAAAAAATCACAAATTGGATGTCTCGAAACAACAGAAATTTTATTCTCGCAACTCTAGAGGCTAAAAGTTCAAAACCGGGGGCGGGGGGGGGGTCTGCAAGACCGGCTCCTTCTGGAGGCTGCCAGGACAAACGCCCCACAGCGGCGTTAGGCCCATGGTGTGGCGCCCCAGCTGCAGTTCCTGCCATGGTCTGCAGTGGGCACCTTCCCTCAGCCCTGGGTATCTGTGTCCAAACTCCACCCTTCTGGGGACACGAGACCCCCACCCTGATTAGCACCTACCTGGTCCACTATGACTTCACTTCACTTGATTCTGTGTGCCAACACCATGTTTTCAAAGAGGTGGCATTGATAGGCCCTAGGGCTTAGGACTTTAATCTGTCTTTGAGAAGGACACAGTTCTCCCCAGTTTAGAGGAAGAACAGCAAGCTGTGGGTATCCATGTGCCCTCTGCACAGAGACATCCTCACCCCCCAGTCTGCAGACTCCTGACCCATCTCCACTGACCCCTCAGAGTTCACAGTTGCTGCAAAGGGGGTTTACTGCAGATCTACCAATTCATGGACTCTCATTTAGAATTTTCTAGAGCCGTCTGGGTCCAGGACAGAGTCTTCTGAGCCAAAAAAACTGGAATGAAGTCACTTACCCAAACAATTCACTGAGTGCCACTGTGTGTGCTCCAGGCATTGGGGGGATCCTGGGGGGGTGGGGGCGGGGGTGGTAGGACAGGAATAGAGTGAGGTCTATGCAGCTGGGGTGGGGGGAGACAGCTGACTCTGGTGATGAGCAGCACCAAGGGGAAGGTCCAGGGGGACGGGGAGCTGGGGGCAGGGCTGAGACCAACAGACAGCTTCTCCAAGGAAGGGGCATTTCAGCAGACCCCCGAAGGGTTGTAGGATCGAGGCACTGCACATGAGGGACGCTTGTAGAAAACACGGCCTTTTGGGGGTACAGGAAGAGAGATGGCTTAATGGGTGAACGTTAGTGCAGCGTGTACTAGGTGCACTGTTGGGCTGCTGCTGGCTTGTAACAGTGAGCAAACAGCCCTGCCCTCCCCCTTCACAGAGCTGGGAGAGTCTCAAGCCAGGCTGCACATCAGAACCACCTGGGAGGGTTTTAAACTACGCAGAAACAGGTGATTCTGATTTGGGTAAGGTGGGACACGGGCTGCTTTTCAAAGAT